CCCCAAAACCCCAAAACCCCAAAACCCCAAAACCCCAAAACTTGTTATTATTTTTGAAATTTTTAGAACAAAAAATTGGATTTAAGCATGGCCTTTTTGTGAGGAGTTAGGACTGAGCTTTGGTATTCCTATAAAATTTATTGAGAGAGTTCTTTTCGCTCTTCTTTTGATATCAATATCTTAAATAGAAGATGGCAGAAGCGGTAGAGAGTATGGAATAGCTGGATAGCAAAGCTATGAGCAGGTACTGGCATGCATGTAAACTCCTGACCGAGGTCTCTGATACTGCATTGTACACATTTCTCTGGAGAGATAGAATCCCTACCTTCGTAATGATTTACTATCTTAGTGGTTACAAATCCTGGGGTGAGATCTTGAATATCTATTTTATCTCCATAGTTATCTTTTAGATAATATGAGAGTATTGCTAAATAACGTTTTGAACCAGGATAAACTCCCATGAAAGGAATTGGAGCATCTTGAGTGGCAGAAGAAACATTAACAATAGCACTTTTAGATTTTCTAGCAAGGAAATGATTTATTAATTTATAGGTCAGCATTATGGGAGCTCCAGAATTAACTCTCAGATTAGATAGGTGCCAATCTAGTGTTATATCATCAAAATGGCAAGCCTCACCCCACCCAGCGTTGTTTACTAAAATAGAGACATCGAGGTTCTTGATCTTCTCAGAAACATCGTTATAAAACCCAACATCTATAGTTTCTGCTAAATCTACTACTAAAATCTTTATCTGGATACTCTTGTTAGCTTCCTGCACTCTCTTCTCAGACTTCTCGAGTTTATCTTTGCTTCTGCCGATCATAACAATGTTGAAGTTTAACTTTGCAAGTTGGATACAGTAGGCCTCTCCAATTCCGCCAGGGCTCCAGTGACTATTGCCCAGGAACCTTTCCTATATCTATGTTGGATTTCTAGAGGTTTTCTCAATTTATTCTGGATGACCATTCTTGTCACCATACAGATTGAATGAACAAAGGTGTAGATGCCTATCACCCAGGCAAGAGTTGTATTTAATCCTCAGAAGAACCTTAGCATAATTTATTAATTACAATCATTTACTTAAGTGTGGGGTTTTGGGGTTTTGGGGTTTTGGGGTTTTGGGG